TCGTACACAATAATTCAGCCCTTCTCGTAGGAAAATATGGTCAACTCTTTCGCCATGTGTGCAGAATTTAGTTAGTACGCGAACCGTCCTTTCCTTCAGTTTACAATTGTTATCACTCAATCAAGCGAAAGTAGATACGAGCACGATGTGGACTCGTAATATGAACCTGTGCTCCCAGTCAAGCGATCCAGGTGGACGAGTGGATGCTTAAGTTGCTAATTTTTCCCAGATGTTGTCGACATAATTCGATTTACCATCAAACATAATCGATGTGCTTATCAAGCCAAACCATCAATCCATCAAACTGCGAGGAGTGCTTGCGACTCATCAACACCACGACCATTCATTTATTGAAAAGTTTTTGCAATCAGGTTGATAAAATCACGACCCTGATTGACTCCTCCAATGAGTCAAACTTCATTAGGCAAATTCAGCAAAATTTGAGATATGTCAGGTTGCTGAGCGAATGCGTGGAAAAGTTGAGGCTGGCAATAAATGGTGATCAGAAAGGAGGCGTAAACAATTGGTGCAAACGCCAAGTGCGTTATTGCGAGTAATAAATATATCCGGCGAGCGAGGTATCACGTATGAAATCGAAGTTCAAGGAGTTGTATTCTCCTTTGTTGGTTGCAGACGTCTGAGAATTTGAGCTCATAAGTGAAAACAAAAGTCGAAAGTGGAACACGTTCGTCTCTAACTTGCCACATGAGCCTCTGACCAAACAACAATAGCCAACGCCACAGTCTCACACATTATCGCCCCTCTGCTAAATGGACAACAGCTTTACAAAGTTTGCCCACACCACCGTTTCTGCTCAATGATAACATGTTATGCTCTGAGAACACGGCAATCATACGAGCGAGCGAGTGTGAGGCGCAAAAATCGCCTTAATTTTTACACCACCACTCGCTAAATGCGACAACTTTTACTGCAACAAGCGACGACCTTTCATCTCATTACAGCCATGCCAATTATTTAAGTCGGTGAGTGAATTATTTTCTCAGCTACCACATAAACCATCAGCAGACTTTGCTAAAAGTATGGCCAGACAGACTGTCATTTTCCATCATAGGCGTATGTACATGCTAGCGGCTGGCTTTTGTGGTCTCGAGAAACATTGCATCTCTTTGATGTAAATATGAGCTCCGCCTGTAACAGAATTGCATTAGAGCTGCTTCCACTCGATCTGTGACTCCAATCTCCAAGTTCATCAAAGTGCAACAAATTGTAGAAAACAAGAAGGTACTCTAAGAAAAAAAAAACAAAAAATGGAGGCATTGCAAATTCTCAGAGGTGTACAGATTCTACAATTACAATGAAATTTCAAAGACTTGAGTTGAATCAACAGCTCAAATATTCATTAATGATCAATGAAATCGAAATTTGAGGTCGAAGCCATCAATTGGAGATTAAAATTTTAAGTGTGTCGATGAGCTCATCTTGTGTGCAAAAGTGAAACAAAAGAACTCGTCTTTTTGAATAATTTCAGAATGCATGACTTTCCTACCACTTGGAGACTTCCGTTTAATAGAGCCGAGCTGGGGACCATATGTGGGTCATGTACACTTGCATATTTATTTATGCAGTGGTGGTCGTGCTGTTGTCTGTCATCCTTTGGCTTTAATTCTTCTTTAAAGGCTCAACATCCTTCTCATTCATCGCCAAACAAACACATTAGCTCTTTAAATAAGCATATTCTTGCGGATTTTCACTTCACCTCGGCTGATCCGTCCCCCAACAGAAGCAGTCATGCTATTTTTAGGGTTAAGTCTGGATTGGAAACACCGGCTACCTCTGAAGAAGAAGGGTTTACATGCTTGTAAATATTCCCATTGTGCTCAACATGCAAATTTTATGTCAACAGTACATTTATTGCTAAACGATATACACATGATAACCCACGTCAACAAGGATTGTGCCCAACGGAGTGGGTCCAAATGGAGTGTGCAAATGCGGAATGGGATAATTTTTTGAGGAAAGTGACTGGCACCTACCTGTCAAGAAGTAATTAACCTCGTGACATGGATGAGCATACGTATTTACGTAGTGGCAACTAACTTCTGAAGCAGAATCGGATGTTCCCACTGAGCAAAGTTCACTCACATTTGTGTCCGCTTCTTATTTATTAAGAATGCAACCAGCACGACGCATGCAATTTGCAATATGTACTTCCATTGCAGTATTTTCCTCTTGCAGTTACGTGACTGTGATTCTGCTGCTGTTAATGTCAAAGTCAGTTCTTTGTGGAGTTCAAGTCCTTGAGCAAGTTAAATTGCAAATGAAAGTGACAAATGATTCGAGTGTCGCTTGCCGACAGCTCGAATGACACAATTCTCTTCACGTGGGAGATTTCTAGAGATAGTTCAGTAGGAAATTAGCATTTTTCATATGCGTGAAAATTTTGAATGGGATGTTGGCTCTGCGATCGGCTTTTAACATGTTTTTCTTCTATTTTTTATCACCAAAACCACCACCACAATTTGTTAATTCCTCTCAAGATCAATTAGCTGATTACAATTTAATTAATCTGCGAATCTCTCGTATTGTCTGCAGCTTCAGCTTCTTTCATTAAAAGAAAACATAAATTTAACTAAATGGGGAAAGCGAAACGTTCCACGAGATTAGCAGCAGCAATGTGACAGAAACAAATTTCGTGAAAAAGGCAAATCAGGAAATATCTCATCCGTACGAAACAGTCATCATTAGAAATTGTCTGATTCAATATATTTTGTATTGTCCTAGTCCTGCCTGACGACACCACATTACCGCAAGTGCACCTCCTTCTCACTCAGGATATTTTCCACCACGACAAAACAATCGTCACGTTGGGACTCGTTTGTCGGACACGAAGACGTGTCATTTCTCCACCTCCACCACCTCCTTCGTGGGAATTGAGGAAGCAGAGGTCAACGAGTGTCCAATAATGAGATAATTTTGTAGGTAGATGCTGACCATCTCAGTTGATCTCAGTCAGTGAGTGAGCAGTACCGACATTCGGCGATGACAGAGCAATCCAATAATCCTCCCAATAAATAGTATTGAGCAATTTCGTTTTTCAACGTTTTAATCCGTTCTTCAATTGCAAAGGAAGGTTCGTGAAGAATCTAATAAGCGACAGGACAAAGCAATCAAGTATTTCGTTGGGTGCAATATAAGTAGTATCGCAGAGTGTATAATATTTTGTACGTATGCATGAGTGTGGGGTAATTCCATTTCACTGAAATTACTGTAAATGAAACCGGTCTATGATCCACAGCCCACACCACTGCATATCTGACGACCTCCTATTCCGTGGTACATGTCAGGAGCGTTCTAGGTTCTTTGGCCAAAAGACGTTAGCTCTGAGGTTGGGCTGGTTCTCCACATTTCTCCCAATAAGTCAACTGATGCGAACAAATGGTGCGACTCGACCATCTCACTACGTATTCCTCCATAGTATGCAAAATCGCAAATAAACAACCTTGCCAAAAACGGGACTCGGATTTTCCCCACCACTCTTCGTCGTCACCTTAGAAGCTCCACTTGATTCAATTGGTGCTGAATATGCGAAATTAATCCTGAGGAAAAAACAGACCTGAACTAAATCACAGACTAATTACTTGCGCCACCATCTTGGTAGGAGTGGTCACATAAGAGTAATCAGAGAGGCAATTTACGTGCATAGTGTACAAAACATAGAAGCAGGAATTCGGCATAAAAACCAGGATTAATTCACAAACTGCAAATATTGATAAATTACAAAAAACGGAATCTAAATTAAAATCGGCCACCCGCACATTCGATTTTGAGCTTTATTTGCCTTATCGGACTCATTAATCGATACGGACAGCTTCCGACGAGAGCGTCATCGCTCCTGTCAACTTTTTCAAACCTTCATTAAAATAACTCGGGGAAAAGGCGTGGACAATGCAGGGCTGGCTTTTATGAAGCTTTTGATCCACGATGAGATTGATTGTTGGAAATAATGAGCCAACGAACAATGCATCATTCATGCGCACAGTTTACATTTTGTAAAATAATGGACAGTTTCGTTTCGGAAACATATCGACACCCAAAAGTAGATACATGTGTACCACCCGGTCGTCCGATACTTACGACGAGACGAGTGGAAGCGTGTCGTAATTTAATTTAAGAACTCCTTGCAATTTACTCGGAAGGTTTGGAGTAAAAATATGCTCATACTGCAACCGCACTATTTACAAGAGCCGTTGTGCATTAGCTATACCCCCAAAATAAATAAATACCGTAGCCAACAATTGCACAATGTCATCACCACCAGCACCACCACAAAGGGACATGAAGACATTGAACAGCCATTTGTTTATCCGACGGTGTGCTCAATCTAACAGGATTATCGCAATTTAAAGGATTAAGTTCTCACCGAATGTACACAAAATACATAAGTGATTCTTTCCACAATTCCATTGTTGCCTGCGAGGTTTTCTTTATTTGCTGTGTTGCAAGTGGCGTTGTTCATGCGACTGTCCTACAAATATTTCCGAAAACATGCGCCAAACAACAAAAGCCAGGAATGCCACACACCAATTCGAATGAGGAAATCTTCCCCTTGTGAAAATCATTCACCCGTTTCAGACACTTTTTCATTCACTCATTCATTCCGTTGATGACCAAGTGAGAAGCAAACCCCGCAAAGCACACGCATGGAATACTTGCATAATAAATGGTATTCAAGGGAATGCCACCAAGACAGTGATACATTTTACCCTCCCCAAAAAAACTGCCCAAATTAACAGGATTCCTATTAGCCAGCCAGTCATGCAGAAGGTTAATCCAGGTTAATCCATTGACACATTAGGTCCAACCAAGTTCAACCTTGTGTGAATTGATGTAATTTCTGCTCTGGGGCAGGAAGTGAAACTTGTTGACGACGTCCTACTCATTGGATACGATATGGTTTCATATTTCATAATTTTGTAACAACCATAACCGATCGGTGACCGTTTTCTTGGCATTTTTTCAATAAATTCTCACATATCTTCATTCTTTATAAGAGGCAGTAGTGCTGGTTAACTTTTTCATGACATGTACGAGTAACCTCAACATTGTTGCTGCTGCTGCTGCTGATTTGTGTGATGTGTTGCGATGATAAAAAATAATCACCAGTCCGTGGTTTTATACTCACACCACGCAATTATTGAAATCCAACTGTTGTGCACATGTGGAGTGGCCGAAACCGGTAATCGGACCGGATTTTAATATGTTGGCAGACCAAGAGAGAGTTCTGGTCGATGGAAACTTGCTGAACCTATGTACGAAATACGAATCGCAAACATGGCACAACTATGGCCATTTATTTGATGATCAATGTGTCTGGGACATCGGTTTAATCAAGCGGACGGGCTCTGGTTGTTGTTGTCCTCTGAAAATGCTTAATTTTTCTCGCTAATTTATACGATGAACCATTCGCTCAGATATTGGAATGATCATCAGCCCTCTTCACATCCAACGTAAAGTAAGTACAGGGAGTAAATGGCAATTAATGAATCCACCAGAGTTTGGGTCTCGTTTACTCATCGTGGAGCTTGCATCCTGTTTTCGTACGAGTTTTTCGCTAGTGGGATGTGTCATGATCGAAGATATGGTGAACGGAGGACCAGAGGAAGAAGTCGAATCCCGTTGTTGGACAGTTACTTATTAATATTTAAATATGGAAAACTTAGAAAGTGAACATTAAACCTGACCCGGACCGAGTGAAGTCAAACGACTTTTACTAAAAAGGTGGGCTTGCATATAAATTGCGCTATGAGTCATTCCTAGGAAAGCAAGGAAATTGTTGCGACATGCAAATAACAACCACATTTGAATAGTTTGGTTCGCAGGTAAAACCATGCACGTCGTCGCCCGTGGGGCCATCTCCTATTCCTACAACATTGGGTTGGACTCCTTCAACGACGAAATTATACATTTTGCATACTTGCTGATTGCGTCAGAAATGTGTGTGGAATCGGTCGTCGCATTCGAATCTTGATTAAGTGCGAATCAAGTTCCCATCCACGCCGTCTAATTTTAGTAGCAGATTGAACAAGATTTTATGAACACCAGGTTGAATTCCAACTAATCAGCCCCCATTCTAGATAAGCGGAGGATTGCGGTGTATAAGATCTTTACAATTTTGTAAAAAGACTGTAAACATGCGTACGTTTAGATTATTCAAATTGTAATAAAAAGAACAAATTCGCATAATTTTTAAACGTCTGATTTTCTATAAAAGTCCACATTTTTATACCTTCTTTATTGTTCTACGTGCTATAAATCATTTGATAGCCACCAAGCCTGCTATTAAGTCCAACAAGTTAGCTCAACTAACTGCCACGTCATAGGAACTAACAAGGCAAATTAATCAGACCGAGGAAACTGAGACGATGCATGGAATGCCTCTTATTTTTGATGCTATTCATTTTGTTGGGTAAGCCGTGGTAGCTCTTATTACGATTAGGAATTTATGAGGCAGTACTGCCACCACCACAACTGTTATTAATTCTCAGTCTCTTGTAAGTAAGTACACATCTCTGGCCTTTGTTGGCAAGTGAGGCTCTCTTTCTTTACACACAGGATTTAGGTACTTTTCTAACTCCGGAATTTTTATGTGCATCAAAATCAACCGCAAAATGCAAAACAAAACGCACACTCCCACCAAAAACGTGAGTTGTACTATGCCAAGAAATCATCCTGTAACAAAGTTTGTACGGCAATGCATCATCTCCTCAATTAATTAATCTCAATTCAATACACAGACAAAGGGCCATCCTTCTAACGATCGCCCACTCCATTGTCTAAACCATTACAATTATTACCCCGCATCGTTGTTAGCATGTTTTAATGCACATACATATTGGATTTGATGGAGGTTCAAAAATTAGGGAGAGGGACGAGCTAAAATTATCAAGAAAGTGGACATAACAATAAAGAGGAGCACTTATTGTTACTCCAACATTTTCACTTCTTTGCCATTGTTCACCCATGCATTATTGGATATTGCTGTAATTAGCCTCCTCACACATGTACCCATCGCAATAACAATAATCCTGTTACCACAACCAAAATAGTGTTACCAAAATCTGTAGCAGAGCAGGCCAAGAAGAAGCAACGTAACATTATTAGCAATGATAATATTGAACTATAGAAATCACATCTTTGCTCTCCTGTTTCAAAGTGCTGCAAAGCTGAGAAGGGATTTTTTTTATTGAACTCGAGTACTCGAAGCCAAGTTTGGGATTACGAAAGCAAGAATGATATAGAAAGATGGAGAAAGTGGGCTGACTGACAGGGAAGATTATTATTTTACTCGACTTGTAATTATGCACAAGTCATTAATCTTCCAAATTAACCAATTAATAGTTAAAAGTTATCTTAACAATTTTGTGGGTAAATTTAATACTCGTGTTTACGACAAATTTAATATGTTTGATTAATCTCATGTGTGTACATAGATTCTACGCGTTGATGTGCGCATATCCGAGCTAAATACATGTATACAGCTTAGGCTTTTCTACTCGCTGCAGCAGACATGAAAGCAGACTTATGTTTGTAGTACTCGCATTATTGTAAAAGTGATGGAATGGAAACGATTTGTTTGTTTGTTTGTAGCGTTTAAAACCCGTTATTTCTCAACTGAAAAAAAAATCATAAAATATGAAATGGGTAGTAGGAAGAGCATGGTAAAACAAGAGCGTAATTAAAATCCAAAAACAATAAAATCATGACCTGAAAAATTTTGTCATTAGACGTTTTATCTTTTTGCATAATTTATAAATACCTTTAATTTATCGCATCGTTAGTTACGTGCCAGCTGCTGCATACATTCGCACAACGTGACACAAAAATATCCACACAAACGCGAATGCAGTTCTTTCTCTGGTAACACGATTATTAAGGTGGCCATTTGACCACCACGAGATTTTTGCGGATAATTAAGTCAGGGAATTCATATGCAGATATAATCAGAATTTGTTTAAAGAACTCTTCATAAATGAGTGTAAAGGGTTCCGACAAAAATTAGCTTGCAAACTCATCACGATAATTGAATCCAAGATGTGAAACAAATTGCTTCCGTCACCAGCATTTTCCTCCCACAACACATTTTGCAATGGCAACTGAAAAATTTAAAAACTGCAATTTGACGATATTTATCAGCTTGTTGTTCTCCCACCTCATTCACTTTCTTCCAATTGTCGTAGTTTTACATAAGAAATTAGAATAAATTGCATGCATGCACTAATCTGCGACATATTAATCAAGCCAATCTTGTCCTTCGTACACACATAGAATGAGAGGAAAACATGAAAGTGACATTTTCCTCCACATTTCATTCATAGTGCGTAAAAAACGTACAAAAACAGAGAGAAATGCGTTAAAAACTCTTAAATCATAGTCAACAAATGTGACAATGTGTCGGAAACGACAATCATTATGTCAACTTACTTTACTTATACACAAATTATTGCAAAAATGATTTTGTGTAATTCTAAAATATGATGTTTTTCTCTTCCCATTCGCATTTCCTTGTTGACCACGTGACACGGCGTTCATGCTTCGATTTATGTTACGTCACTCAAATATATTTACTTACATGTATGTAATGCGTAATTGCCTGCAGTCAGTTCAGCAAAATTCCACAAAATATTTTGATTATTTATGCGTTCATACGACACACGTTATGGGCCAGAGTGATTCAAAGAAAGGGAAATTGTGTAGGAAATGGTGATGCATCTCGTCCTCAAAATTTCACTCGTGCCCTTTGACGTCTGAATGTGAGACAAGCCCAACTCTGCAACGCCGGCTAATTGTGCACGTCGCTTTTTCCTCAATTATTAATAGAGCTAGAGGATTGGAGGTGAGCTGTGGTAAAAAATGTACCCATTTATTGTATTTTATCATCTGATAAGAAACAACCATCATGTTGACATACGTGTACACATTTTGTAGGAATTCTTAAAGTGCTTTGGAGCAAGAAGCATTACCGCATCTCATCAATATGGATAGTTCTCATCAAGTTTTGAAGAGATCAGAGTAAACTTGGGGTAAAAATCAGGCAAAAAATGGGCGAACACGAGGCAAGAATTCCAATTATATTTTGTTTAATATCAAAAGTGCAATAATTTTCCTCTTCTCATGAAACGAGAGTAAATAAATTGGAGTTTTACAAGGTGTGGGAGGGAGGGAGGCGAGTAAAATTTACTTTTCTAAATGATTGAGCATTTGCTTCAGTGAGCGAGTACACAAGAAGAAGGAGAGGGCAATTTTAGAGAAATCGGAATTCCTCTCATCACCATCATCGTCATCTTGTACGTACGAGTGTACGAGTATCTAGGAAGAGACAGGAGCCAGCCAAAGGATGATCAAGAAGAGGAACAAATTGTTGGATAATAGCTCCTCAACATAATTTGGAATCAGAGTCAGAGTGACTTGAGGCGAAAATAGACATCTTTCCACGAGATCGTGTTCTTTGACTCGACACACTCGCAGCCAAGGAAAATGCTTCCACGTGAGATTGAGACGAGGTTCGATTGATCCCTTTATTTGTGCCAAGGAAGCCCTCACACAATGGACCCCGTCTCGAATGGATAGCGCCATAAAGGAAACAGGAAACTTTTATTGGGACTAAAACAAAAGCTGACAATACAAAATGCAGCCAGCCAATTGTGTACAATAGTTCACAATTCACATGGCATGACAGAGATGCAACGCACGGTTCATCAATTATTGCAAATTGATTCGAATTGCCCATTTTTTACACAATCGAACAATTAACTGTGCAGAACCACCAGCGTAGCACTACAAAGTGGCAGTTCTTAAGTTGCACAATATTTATGACTTTGATTTTAAGTGAATCAATAAAGCGAGGCAATAATTTTTGATGTCTGCTTGTCTGTAGCTTGATTTATGTGCATGCATTTTAGCGAGTGAATTTTGTAGTAAAAGGTCAAAGATTGGTTCAAGAGCTCAAATACGAAGATATTTAAAAGATAACATCTCCAGACATCTGCATACAAAGTGCAGTATTCGAGAGCATAATGCGATCTGAGGTTTACTTTGATTTGTGAGCTTCACATTCTTGCACAATTCGTGACCAATTTCCTCTCATCTGAAACGCTGTCTGGAATTTGTTTGCATTCCCTGTGTCACGGATCTGATTTGTGAAGTTGTGTTAAAAAATGTCTGAAAATTAATCCCTTGCAACAACATGTGTCATGATGATGCGCTTTTTAGACGACATCGCAAACACCTGATATCCAATCGGATTTGGTAAATTAGTTGAGTCCCCCTCAAATCTAGTCCGAGGCTCCGTTATGTTAGTTATGATTGCATTCAGTGCTTATTACTGGGCCAGGTGGTGAGCTAATTTTGTCCACTCGCATGGGTTCCACCTTGTGCGATGTCAAAGTCAAGGAGGAGGGACGCGCCCATGTCCCATCCACGGGACCGTTAAACTAAAAAGGGTGCATAGCTGTCACTTACCGCAGAAGGGGATTCCGACCGGACTCCATGTTCCGTCCTCACCGCAAACTCGTCGCGAAGGCCCCAGGAGTTCGAAACCTCTTTCGCAGGCATACGTGGCGATGACTCCCTCCTTCAATTCCGGACCGGAAAAAGTCAGTGCGGAATGCGCGGGTGCTTCAAATTGGCATTAAAGAGACGAGTTAATTGATATGAATGCTTTAGAAAACTAATTTCTCTATTAAAATATAGCAATTAATGAAGAGTTACCTCCAGGATACCCGCAGCCAAGAGCTGAAAATAGAAATGGTGTCATCGTTAGTATTTATGCACGTCTTTCATTTCATAATATTTATGGTGAAATTTATAGAGTATTAAATGGAGCAGAGAACGGTAGTGAAGAAATGCATACAATACTCCATTTTGAGGTATAAAATAAGCACACATTTTCCACCTATTCCACTGCACTGACCTTTCCTCCCTGTGCCGAATCCATACAATACGAGTTAATGGTACACAATATAAACTACCGCTATGTCCAACGACCACTCCAACCATTTCAATCCTACGTATCTCTCCATCTCAGGTAGCAAAATGCGATATGCAGCGTCGTAGTGTAGCATTTAACACTGAAAGCAAATCAAATCTGACAACTTGTGTCATGAAAATCTCCCATTGTGCAAAATGCCCTTTGTTCTAATTGTGGGTCTCTGTGTGATGGGCACAGGGATGACAAATTAGGTGCATTTACATTCATGTACATAGTATAGTCGGTTTCTTCGTGCCACCACTGCCATGAGGCATTTTTAGTATCGCGAAATTTTGGTCATTTAAATATTGCTGGTCTATGTAGCTCTCAAAAGTAGAAATCCAGAGAACGGGAAATTGTGATATGGCATTTCTCTACTTCTGCGCCTCGGGGGTGGGAACAAACGTTTAAGGAAAGGGTTGCAAAAATAGAGTAAAATAATTCAAATGTTCACGTGAATGGAAAATCTCGTCACGAAGATGAGATGAGAATAGGAGATAAAGTTCTTAAGGCGCACAGATAACCGGCCTTATTCAGATTACTTAATCCACATTTAGCCAAGTTTTAGGGATCTAGCTCAGTCAGAACCAATGTAGCAAAAAGTTGGCATAATTGAAACGAGCTCATTGATGCAACAAGTTAAAGTTAAGCATCACGTTGGTGTACAATACGGCATTGTATTTGCTCATGAACTTTAACAAGAAAGAAGGTTCTTCATCTCATCTTCCTCACAATTTCCAAGCCCAAGAACATGGCAAAGTGCGTTAATGAGGAATTGTAATAAATTACTTAATTATTCAGATCTAGAAGTTCAATTAAATTAAATTACTGCGTTGTAATACTTTGCTGTTTTAAATTACCACCATTTTCGACAACACGGCTGCTCCACTACTAACATATATACTATTATCTACCCACATGTGTGTGCATACCTTGGGAGTAAAAAGTGAGCACAAAAACTCCTTGGGCACTCGACCATCAGAAATTAGAAAAGGTTTCAAAAGGTGAATCCTCTCGATTTGAACTACATACGTAAAAGCATTGGTGGGGCTCGCGGCTGGTGAAATGAACATGGCAAATAAATCTTACGTGGAAGCATCTCAACCATTTCTATTGCAATTTTGATAACTTCAACTTGCTCACGTTGGTAGTAGTGCGCGTGGGGCATGAAACCTAAAATCTCACGCTTCGTTTGGACTGTATCACCAGACCAGTGATATTTACACGTCGGTATACATTGTCGATTTGTAGTGGTGCAGTCTAAAGCAAGTCAGTGGTACGTACGCCGTGTGGAAGAAAGAATTACTGTAACATTTCCCCATGAGGAGAGTCAAGAGACGACCGACTCAAGCACCCGGAGGGGACCACTGACTTACTTACTTATCCAATGCGAGAAACAAGAATGAAGGATATGCACACAGGCAGAGATTCACAAGATGACGACCATCTCGTTCTGCTCCGCTGGATAAATGGTGACAACATAATTATCATTATTGTCATACATCATTGGACTCGTAATTTTGCGTTATGTGAGACTTTCCCATGTCAGAGTTGACTGGTGGACTGATCGGGCATGTGTTCCTCTGTGAGACCACGTCCATTTCTGAAGTGATGATAAATTATGAGGATAAATTATGAGGATGACTACGAGAAATAAGTAGGTTGGGTTTTGATAGGAAAAAAGAGTTTTTTTTTGGCAGCAAACCTGCACAATTGAATGGGAACCTGAGTTATTGTGTCCGTTGTTGTATAAGTTTGTTATGTATGATAATCAAGCCAATTGTGAATTTTGATTAAGAAAAGATTTTCCACATTCGTGTGCGGGTGGGCTGTTTTTCACGAACATGACACGCCGACGGTGGTGGTGGTAACATTGAAAATTTTATTTTATTTATACCAAGCTCTACTTTGTCTGAAATTGAATCGTGATTCGAAAAATGAGTGCACATGGCAAAACCGTGTTGGCAGTTGCATCACTTAAAATGATCATAATCGAATACATGAATCGAATGCATACGGAAAATATGGGGACGTTCATAAACTTCATAACGCAAATTTTGGCATTTTTGGACACCCACCCTCCCCTATGTCACGCTGTTGTCACAAAAATTGGTAGCCCAGCCCCCCCCCTTCCGTTACGTAACGCAAGTGCCTAAATGTTCAGCCTCTGCTCAAATTGTCAGGGTTGGTCTGAATGAGGACTTCCGAATGTGAATAATTATAAAGCTCATTTTAGGATGTTTGGGTGGGTTGAACAACTTCTTTAACAACAATTAAGACCAATATTAATACCAATTAATCAATATTTTCAAAGACTATCTAACAATAAAGTTGTGAGAACTTGAGACACACATAAGTTACACAGTGTGATGAAATGGAACTACAAGAATTGAACCGAGTAATCCAGATTGAGGATTAATCATGAATACGTAATCATGATTTTGATTAATCTGGATTAATAGTCCCTAATCACGGATTAAGGACATCTAATGAGATTATTACCCGATTAATTCTAATTCCAGAAAAATCGGGATTATGGATTAGGATTAATCTATATAAAAAACTCATTTCCGGATTATCCTTAATCTGGATTATCCCAGCTCTGACAATAAATAGATAATAAACTTTTTGGATTTAGAAAGAAACCGTGAGCATTTGTGCGACTTGCATTTCAAGTATTTATCACTAACATGTAAACCCTAGTTAGCGTATTGTTTTACATGTAAATAAAATAAATACTTTTGACTTAAAAGCAGCGTTTCTGCTATTTTATTTTCTGTTAATCACTTCAGTGCTTTAGTGTCAAAAGTATTTTCATTTGTTAACGAAAAATGAATGAAGCTTTTCAAGATTGGACAAAGTATATATAACTCGACCATTTTTATGAACGGAAATTTTAAGTTAAATTTTTATAGGGGCATGTATTTTATAACTAAACAAACCCTTAATGAAATTTTCATCCCGAATAATAATTCCATGTTCAATGTTTAATATAAATATGCTCAAAATTTCAAGTCCATATGATAAGTCTTACGAGCGTAATCGGTTGACAGACAGAGAAACAACTATCACGATAAGCCCTACCTAGGGCTAGAAAGAGTGTACTGTAAGGCTGTAAACAGCACAGACCTTTAAATAGCTAATAATGAGTCTTACTCTAGCTTTACATTTTACAACATGAGAAAGTATTTCTATTTAAATATCTCCAAATTTAAATTAGGTTTCATTCATTCTTATGCGTTTATATTCATTTTATGTACTTTCAGGCCCATGTATGCCAAAAATATATTGTCAGCAAAAACATGAAATTTGCGTTACAGTAGCATGTGTCAGCTCACCCACCCTCCCCCCTGTAACGCTGTGTAACGGAATTTTTAGTACCCACCCACCCCTTTTTGCGTTATGAACGCATATGAAGTTTATGAACGTCCCCTATAAGCATCCCGTGTTCAACTTAAAAATTGTTTGTGCCGATATCCCGCCGTGGTCGACTTTGTGTACAAACAAACAAGTAGAAAAAACCGTACAAACCTTGCCAGATTTGTAATTACTGATCAATGACTAATAAATAATTAAAGCTGAAGGAAGATCTCTTTTTCTGGAGCTTTCTTCGTTCCACTCGGTCCAAGGAAACGAGCAACGGTTGGGTTCTGCATCCCTGATTTCTTGGAATGTTGTGAACCCTTCTTCCCACCATCGGGAAATAAGTGCTCGTCCTCATCTTCCGAAAGGTCTGATGAAGAAGTCTCCGTGCAATGCCGTGCTCAATCCTTTCACAGGTATCCCACGTAATACAGACACGTTGATGCGCTGATGGTGTTGGATAAGAGGACCATGCCCTATCTCCACTCTCCCTCCAATAAATTCACCTCACTTTAACGGAACAGCAGCCAGTATTGCTGGCTCCCTTGTCCATTCCTCGTAAATTTCAACATTAAATCCCTTCCCAAGGTGAGCCAGGGAACAAAAAAACAGGTCACAGAGCTGCTTTGTTGATCATTGTTTCGGAAGTGCATATAGTCGGCCTTCACCTTCACCATGCACAAGTGCATCTCTCATATGTACATATTCATGTACATACGTAGCGCCTTGTTTTGTGGGTCCATATCGAGCACGCAGACATTCCTCTCTCCATCTCATTTTGTTCTTAAGCCTAAAGAGGACATGGAGGGCAGTGGTCGAGCCATTTTGGAGATGAGATGATGAGCTAACAAGTTGTGTAACATTTACCACATAGTAAATGTGCACACGGAGTCGTGTTGAAGACGTTCCCGTGTCCCGTACATATTTGTGTGGGTATGTGTGCAGCCATCAATCTTCCCCACCCACTGAGGACCTTGTACGCGCATACTTCGATTAGCTCACTGCCCCAGGTCAACGGCAATAAAAAGCACAACCGACCGACTGACTTTTTTTGGCATTAAGCACATTATTTTTAGTGCACAAAACACGTTTGTGTTTCGGTCAATCGTTGAGCTCTGAGTGCAACGAATGTTACAAGTCATTACGTAGGATTTGTTGTGTCCGTGCATGTCCTACGGCAATCAGGAGGAGTGAGTCGAATGATTACAAATTACGAAACGGACAACGTCCCGATAACATCCCATTCCTGACCCGAATAATGTGAGTCGCAACTCACAAACAGAATCCTCACCCTCAAAATCCTACGTTTGTCATCTGAGAATGTCAATCCACGCCAACGCACATGCCACGAAGAAGAGTCATAGTCGATGCAGGATCTGCAGGTGTAAAGGATCACTAGACG